GCCCGCAGCACTTGGGCACGTTTGCCAGGTTTGTTGCACGTTAAGTTTATCAATTGATGATAACCTTGGCCAGGCACAGCCATCTGATGGATGGGGGAGACAGAGCATCCACTACTCTGGAGAAATTATGCCTCCCATCCCGCTGGGGTCTCAGGATCGGGCACTGCGTGTGTGAGCCACACGTGAACAGCGGAACACGCCTGGGAGTTCAGATGAAGGGCAGTGCAAGGATTTCACTTCAGAAAGGAAGCGAAGCAAGGGCTGAAGAAGGAAGAGCAGCTGCAATTCTATGTCGTTGATGGCACACAGAAAATGGCAGGTGAAGACCAAGGCTCTGAAGAGGATTTTCTCTCCTCCCCAGTGGCTCCAGCCCTCCCAACTGACACAAACACCCACCGGTTTGGTTTGCTGAGGAACAAGCTGGGAGTTGAGAGGAATCCAGGACCAATTCTTTGCTGGAGAACCCAGGGGGAACCCCCTCCTCTGCAGCAGCAGGGCACAGCAAGGACAGGCAGCCGTAAAGCATCAGCCAACCCACCTCATGAAAGGACACTGCACAGCTGAAAGGATCAGATAAGAGCAACAACAATCCAAATGGAATTTGTCCCCATGAGGAGAGCCGAAAGGAGCTGGACTGTTGCCTTCATTAGGTCAAAGATAAGAGGGGCAGCAGCTCGTGTGGGGCAGCACCAGAAGCAGAGCAGTGCAACACCATTAACAGATCGTGATCCAAGCGTGGATGCTCTGACTGCAGGGGGACAGCGAGGGCTCAACAACGTACAGAAAGGGAGAGGGCATGGTCATGGATATGCTGTTCCAGTTCATGGCAAAGCTGCCAGAGAACATCAGTCCTGCACTTCTGCTAGGGATAAGATTGAAAACGGGAGAGAACTAAATCCAGGGAGGAAGAACAAGCACCAGATCAGCTCAAATCGCAGGGAGCTGGGGCTAATTTTCCCTCCACAGGTCTCAGCTGGGGTGTTTGCCAGGTAGGCAGCAGCAGTACAACATTCACTGCCCTGCAGGAGATTACCAGCCAGACAAGGGCACACGCAGCATGATGTTGTACAGCGTTTCGTTCTCCTTTTGCTCTCTAAATACAGACGCTCTTCTGCCTCCCTAATTCTTGACACATTTGTTCCAGGCATCTATCTGTACCTACAATTATTAGCCACGCCAAAGGATTTTGGTTAATGCAAATAAAAGGGAAAGATTTTATTCCACCTACAAATCTTCTTTGGCTCGCAGCTATGTGACTGTGGGGTGAAATCCAGCCCTGGAGAAAGCCACAGAGCGAAAGCCTAGCACCGTTCTTGTGCCAAACACTCTGCAGGATGGATTTACTGCTGCTGAAAGATGCTCGATTGCCTGGCTTTGATATTCTGCTTGGAGGAAGCGCTGTGGGGGAGCGAGCTTTCGGGGGGGTGGGTGGCCAGGGTGTCAGTTTGGCAGATGAGAGCAGGGATGGTGCCGTGTACCTGGGGCGGCACAGGGACGGGCACACGCAGGCAGCAGCGCTGCCTGGTCGGAGCACTGCGGTGCGGGAAGCAAGGCAGGGTTAGAGCGTGCCTGAAGACAAGAAGCCGTGTCCTGGTGCGTCGACCAGGGGAGAAGGGACCCGGGAAAGGGCTCAGAGCTGCAGCTGCACGAAGTGGGCAGCGTGGGTGGGGGCTCCTCCAAAAACAAACGAAATAAGAGTTTCAAGGGACAGAAAGAATTCATGGCTTCAGGTCAAATTCAGCAAATATTTTTAGCCAGAAGAGGGAGGGTTCTAAAACATCATTTTTAAATGTTATAAGATTTTTTGTTCTGCAATTGTCTAGGTGAGAATTTGTTAGTTCCTTTCCAGCGAGGATGCCTCCATTTCAAAAAGCAGCGCAGCAACATCGGAAGGGTTAAGCAACTCAGACAAAATCTGCCAGGTTGGTCAGGATCACTTTGTTTCACTGAAACCTCCAAACATTGCTGTTTCAGTTTGACTGAAACAATTTTCCTCTTCCCCATGGGATTTTTTGGTTCAGCCGCAGAACTGAAAAATCCATTATTAGCCTGGCTGTAATGCAAACTTCTCCTGCGCGCCCCCAGCCTGCAGGCCTGCCCAGCCTCTCAGTGTGCTTAAATAGCCCTGAAATAGTATTAAATAATATGGCACACTCAGTTCTCAGTGTCCCTGCAGAGGTTTCCACAGGGAGCCGGTGGATGTGACAGGGACACTTGTCTGCTCCGCAACAACTGCGTTATTTATTATAATTGCTAGATAGGGCTGGGTACAAATCATTTTCTTAAACGTTTAATACTTCATGGCCTGTTATCAGCCTCTCTACTGGTCTCCAGAACGAGCGTTTTAGTGAGAAAGAAACTTTTCCCAAGGTCGCCATTCCTGCAAATTAACGACCAGCTTTCCCTTTCCGCAGCGCAAACCTCCTTCCAGAAACGGTGCGTGCACCTACCTAGAGCAGGTGGCTGGACAAGTTCCTCGCCCCTCGCCGCCGGCAGCACTGTGGAGCATCTTGGGAATAACGATGCTGACAAGGCAGCTCTAACTGAGCCTTGGTTGGAAAACCCGAGTGCAGCAGAGAAGTGTTTTGCCAGCTTAGCTTTATAACCTCGTCTATCCTCTTTTGATGTTGGCTGTACAAATAAAAACAGCCTTTCAGTACCAGTCCCTAAATCTCCCGTTGCCGAAGCAATGACCTGTCCATTGCCCTGCACTCCTACCAGTGACAAACCCCCGTCCTTTTAAAGTGGTTTTACTCACTGGTCACCCCTAAGAGCAATGAAACGGGCCTCAATGCCAGGACCAAGTTTAATCCAAACTTCACATTTCAGACCAGCCTAGGATGGGACTCCTTGACCTCCGTTTACAGCTGAAGAGGCCATACGTGTCCGGCTAGGAAGCGCTCATAGGAATAAAGATGTTTGTGCAAATGGAATAAAAGATTTGGCCTAAGATGGGGTGAAAAAGCGATGTTGGGAAAGGATCCCAAAGCGAGGCAAAACTGCCCGGGGATTTCATCCCACACAGGTGTATAGACCGACCTAATGGAGAGTCGAGCAAACCTGCTAGAGACCAGCGTTGTGAAGAGAGTGGAGGAAATACTTGCTATTTTGTCCGTTGGCAAAACCACTTCTCTTCTGCCAACATTGAAACGATCCCCTCAGAGCATTTCTGATCTGCTACTCTCGTCTTGGATTCCAGCGGAGTAGAAACCGATCTCACAAGATTCAACTTCCTCAGCCAAGCACTGCAAAAAGCACTTGTGGTACAATGGAAAAGAGTTATAATTAACAGCCCATGCTTGAACAGCTTGCTTGTGGTGGGTGGTGTGATTAAACTGAAACTTAATAAATCCGACCTGCTTCAATAGCCGCTGCTGCGCTGCTAGCCCCCATCCCGAGAAAGCCCCAAACGAATGAATGGAAGAGGCACCAAAGCATTATCCGGAGCCAACGTGCGTCTCTGAGTCCGGCCGGGTGGCTGGGAAGGTAAGCAGCCAGTGTCAGAGATGCTGGCAGCAACCTGAACTGCTCTGCCCCCGCTCCCTCCTGTGCAGACCAGGGCTGCAGCTCGGCTCTCGCTTACTCTACATCCTGTGGAATTTCCATGCTCCGATGACACACGCAGCCACTCAGCATACATGCATTTCCACTACCAGTTTTTATCATCTGCCTGATGACTAATTAATATGGGCCCAATGTATAGGAGTCCTCCGATGCAAGGTGCCAGAACAGGGTGCTGGGGCGGGGGGGGAGTTAAGTCATTTCAGGTTGAATTCATTGCTCGTGCAAGGGAGATACCCGAGACAAGCAGAATCCAGGAAAGCTGCAGCTTACACAGTTCAGCTGAGGTCCCTACGCCGAATCTGCCCTGCTTCCCCACAGCCTCCACTTCTGACCAGTCCTGGACTGCCCAGTGGGGCTCCATCGATATCTTATTCTCAGGGAGGGACAGCAGAGACGCCAAGGAGACCGAGAATACAGGACTCAGGTCATTTGTAATGCAAAGCCAGGGTTTGTAATTTGCGTTTGTAATTTGCATTTGTAATGCAAAGCTTAAAGCAGCTGCTGCACCAATTCACTGGTGAAGTGCCTGTGAAATATATTCAATACATTTTCCCCCAGTATTTTGCAATATCCCATGAATTAGAAGGAAACAAATTTGTCTTTGATACTGCCCTTGGATGAAAGTTTAAGAGGCCGTAAAATTCTGAAAACTGAGCTATGAATCCTTTCCCCTTCCCTTTTCTCCTTTCACAGTGTATGCACAGAGCTGACACCTTCTGACATTTGCTGATCTATACACTCACTCGTGGTATATGTACCTTTTCCGAGTGCATACAAGCACAGAAATACTGTTTCAGCGTTTGTAGATGCAACAAATTGCGGTTTAAGTCCATTCCTTATATCCCTCTAAAAATTAGAAGACAGCCTAGTTAAACTCTAGTCCTAGCTGAAAATGTTAAGTATGTACAAAGTCATATTAAGATCTTTTTAAGATGACTTTCAGCCTTTCTGAAAATATTGTGTTCTGAGCTCAGGAAAAGACAAGAGCTCTTACAGAACAGCCTGCAAAACTACTTCTCTAATAGGCTGGGCAGTAGGAGAAAGAGTGGTTGCTCCTATATTTAATTACCTGGGAGATGCCCCGACACCACAATAATGGGGGTTGTATAAATACCTACATAGATTAGCTACAACTATCTCGACCACACCACTACATCACTGCATAGCCCCCCCAAGAAGCCACCGACCCTCCCAAGACAAACATCCTCAAGAAACTGAGCTCCAAGGTGTATTTTGAAGTCAGAGGCAGGATACTGAAAACCTGATCCCAGCCCTGCAGCGAGTGCAAAAATCTCTGTTATTTTCATCGTCACCTGTGAGCAGCAAAGCTCTTACGGCAACACTAGAGACTGGAAGTTCCCGCGCGCTAAGACAAGGAAGGTCACGGTCTGGGCTGTCAGGGAACGTGGCTACCTGCGTCCACTCCGGTCTCTTACCTCAGTGGGATCTTAATAGCCAGGTACCTGTCGATGGCCACCGCCAGCAAGCTGAAAATGGAGCTTTGGGTCAGCACCAGCACGAAGCAGGCGAAGAAGAGGCAGCTGTGAAAATCCGCCTGGAATCCGATGCTGATGGTGATGGCGAAAGGGATGGCTAACAAACCCACGGCAATATCAGCCACTGCCAGGGACACCAGGAAATAGTTGGTTGCGTTCTTCAAGGTACTGTTGATGGCCACGGCCCAGCAGACCAGGACATTGCCAGCGATAGACAGCACAGCGATGATCAGTTCCAGCACGATATAGGTGGTTTTCATAGTGTCCATGGCGAGAGCCCAGGGCGAGGAGCTAGAACGGTTCATGAGAAAAAGGTACTTTCCACCGGGCGCCCGTCCGCAGGTACCAACAGGCCACGGGGCAGCGCCGGAGAGAAACACCCATGTCCGGGCTCACCGCC